TGTCTTTGCTGCCACACAAACCACCATCCCCTGCCGTCACTGAGACGGACTGCAAGACCTTGCTAACGCTTTTACCCAGAAGCACTGGTATGCTGCTCCCAGGCACCACATTTGTAATCCTGGTTTCATCCCCATCCCCCTTCAAACCTAGTTTAAAGCCCTATGAATGAGCCCTGCTAATTCTTGTCCCAGGTTTGTAGCAGCATGACATGCTGTATTTTCAGGAGAACGTGCAAATCCTGAATTGGTGTGCATTATTTTTTCCACTCACATACCTAGCTTCACAGACAACCCAGCATACAAACCAACCTTCCCAAAGAGAGCTTGTTTCCCAATGGGGCTTCCTCTGTGCCGATAGTGCTCTTCTTGGAAGTTCTCCAAAAGGCCACTTTCAGCTCAGAAACCAATTTGCTGCAGCTGCTGCAGTAAATTGAAACTGTTGTAGCTGTAAGTGAGTTCATCTGTGGGGATCCTCCTTGCGTGTGGTAAGGTTAGTCTTGTTGGAGGAAGGGGTGTGGAGGTGAGGTGGAAGGCAGAGAGTTTTATGATGGCACGTGGTTGTTGTACCACACACAGCACAAACCTACTGGGTATCAGGCTTATTTGCTTCAAATTTGGTGGACTTCTCTTTTTTAATGCCTGCATGGGTCTGGTATATGAAGTGAATGTTCAGCCTTTGAAGCTTCTTCTCTCTAGGCATAACTGAATACTGAAAACACACATGTAAATGTATACATTGAAGCAGTATTTTGCGTTCAGCTGTTTGTGTCTCTCTCTTCTAAATAACTTGGTGCTTCATTAAAAAGGGAAGTGATAAAGATGATCCATCATAGTGAAGATGATGAAGGATGGTTTTGTGGAAGAAGCTGTAAGTGAATAATGTTTTGTGCGTGGCTAGCACTGTTAGTGGTAAATTGCTAAGGGAAAGACTCTATGCCTTGTAAAAGTAGCTGTTAGGATAAAATAAGCACGGGGCCTTCAATCTTTAAATTTGCATCAGGTATTTTTGGTTTTTGTGAACAATGTCATAAATGCTGTCTCATCTCTATGAGAATTGAGCTGAACCAAGTATTCGTAAATCGGCATGTGGGTAATCTACATAGTCAGGTGCCAAAAATGCTGTTTCTTTTTTCTTTTCTCCTTTTTTTTGCTCCTTTTTTGCTCCTTTCTCGCTCCTTTTTTTCTCCTTTTTCAGCAGTTCCTTAAGATTAACTGCACTGAATTTCAGAACCATATGTGCTTCCCCACCATATGTGGGGAAAATTTCAGATCAGGAATCAAACAGCCCTATTTTGCTCTGAAATAGTCTGTATTGCTTTAAAGGTCTGATAAGTTATTGTATCTTCATTGCACTCCATAAAAACTTCTGAGATGCCTGCAATATTAAGTCACCATATAGCACAGTTTTCAGTACAGTATAATGTAAGAGAGCTTTTTAATCAGACCATTTAAAAAAAAAATAATGAGAAAGGAAAGTGAAAGCCTCCTAATTTGTTAAGATTAAGCTGAGGATAAAGAGACAGCCATGACATTAAATCAGGCTTTGTCCCTGGTTGAAATGTGACACAGAAAGTGATCTATATTTATAACAAGAATAAATCCTGAACAAGGCATTTAGAATCGAATGAGCTGATACAACAGCAGCTCTGGCTGTGCGCATATGGATAAAAATATAAAACATTTGAAGTAATAAAGGCCTAAGTATAAGATTATATAAAACTGGAAGCCAGAGAAGAATGGGCTCTCCTAGCAAATGGAGTTAAGATACTGTTTGCAGCCTGGATGCCAGTGCATTAAATTGGGAAGTCATCAAATGCCCAGGCAGTACCAAACAAATGAATAAAATCTACAGTTTATAGCAGTAATGTTGTGTGGAAGTGAATGTTGCAATACGTAACTGCTGATGGAGAGAAGAATTCACTAAGGAGATAAAGGTATGTCTGACTTTGAAGTGAGAAATCAGCTTCCTCAGAGTTTTCTTGGCAAAGAAAAATAAAGGTATGAGGGTAAGATCTATAAAGTGACACCCATTAAATTTTACCTTATGGACTACGTTTAACTGTACGTGCCTTCGTCAGATACTTTCCTCAGTGCTGTGTCCATACCCCTGTGACATGGGAGGAGTCGATGACCTTGTTTTCACATGACAACTCTACCACCAAAAAACATGCTTCCATTCTGAGTGAGATCTCCTTCCATCAGGGTAGGTTATTGCCTGCTCCCCTCAGTTTAGTTGTAACGATCATGACAATGGGCCAGTTAGAAGCTGTGAATGTGCCTGGCCTTCCTCGCTCTCTATCCTGGCAGTGGGGAGCTGCTAGCGACCTCTCTGTTTGTTTGACTCCTTGGACATTTCTCAAAGCCTCAAGTCATATACACCGCTGGCTCAAGGCATGCTGTCCAGTGCATTTTCAGCTTCTTTTTTGGTTTGGTTCCCCCCACCCCCCCTCTTAGGAGTAACCCCATTCAGTATTCAGTCACATAACTGGTTTGCCCAGTTGTGGATTTGGGGGCAAACTTCACCTTCATAGTTACTCAGAACAAGTGTCTGGGCTTCCCAGGTTACAGTGCATTTTCCAGTGAAGTTTGGTGATACATGCATACGTATGTATATATACATGTAAGTATGTATATGTATACCTACCTGCGCATCTATACATACATATGTATGATAGATTTTGGGGGGGGGGGTATACACACTTGAAAAAAACATTGGCCCTGTGAAACTTTTACCTCCTAAGGTACAGGTGATGTGGTGTTTCCAGCATCCAGAGCAGAAAATCTTCAATGTCAAGAACAATTTTACTTAAGAAGCTCATAAGCAATACTTAGGGTATACTAAGACAGACAAGACCCAGAGTACTTGTGAAACAGATGGCGTTAGTCCCTTGTTAAGCATTGCTAACACCTGCTACTGCTCCTTCTTTGAGGAAGGTTAGCAATCAAGAAGCAAGGGAAAACAGCTAAGGTGCCAGCCAGCTGGAGACCATCGCATGACTTCAGTTTTCTTGTTATGGATCTGTGCTGAGCATCCCTTTCCACTGGTAAGCCCAGTTGGGAAAGAAGATGTGAGCAAGTGGCCTTTTGAGATGTTGTTCTGCGTAACTCATTAGCAGCTGAAAACAAATCCTTGAATTATGCAGAAGTCTGTGAAGCTGCATTTCCCACACAGCTGTGAGTTGGGGCTGCCCAGGGCACACATGGGTGCAGGGTCCCTGCCTGTTGGACGGGCAGCTCAGTGAAGGAGTTGGGTGCTGCAGCATCTTGGCATGGAGCCGGGCAGCCCTGCAGCTGGCAGCTAGGGGCTCCCACACCTGGGGGAAACCAGGCAGGCAGCGTTGGCCATCTCTGCCTGCTCCTGCTGTAACTTCCAGTGGAATCAGCGCACTCCAGAGAGATGGCATCCCGTCTCTTAAACAGCTGAAAAAAACCCCTCTTTCTCACCTGCAAATGTTTTTACATGTTATAACTGGAGGATGAATGCTTGCTGAAAATAAAACTTCTTTTTGCTGTTGTTTTTCTTAATCCATTTTGCATTCATTATTCAGCACAGTGATGCGAACCATAAGGGTAAGAAACTGTGTAAGCTCACCAAAACCAAAATGGTATGTATTTCTGTGAATTATCAGGAGTTATTTAGTGTTCAAAATCAGTTACATATCTAGTATTTATTAAATAAACTGCTGATGCATGCTTATGAAGTATTGAAGAATCAACAGAATCCATTTGATGAAGCTGTTGATCAATGAGATGAGGAGGAAGGCATCTATTATAAAGTTATACAAACTAAAAAGAGCTAAATTCTGTCCTTAACATATACTTAATATATACAGCGGTATAGCAAACTTTAATTGACAAATACTAAAGTCCCAGAGGCTTTCCCTGCCTATTTTCCCCCTCTATTAGGAATCATGTTTCTTGCTATGCCTTTAAAACTGGATAATGACTTGGGATGAGGATTCCTCCTAATGAATCAGAATAATGTCCTTCTCATAAAAGTGTTCCATAGTTTAGGAGTTTGTCTATTTTTTCTTTCATACATGATATTCAGAAAGGATGTCAGGATGCCCAGAAAGTTGTTGTCCCTAATTTCAGCAGAGCTGCTGTTGTTGTTAGATAAATCATCCTTTTACATCCTTTAGTTACAGAATTCTTCTCAAGTTTCTTTTCTGACACAAAGTTAGCTCCACCCCTACTGGTCCATCCTGGTTCTATCCGAATATGCCAACAGCATATTTGGTTACCTGCCAAAGTTCAAGTTTACAGAGCCAGCTACATCCACAGCTTGCTTCCCACACAAGACAGTTTGTGTTTCTGCTGCACATTGGCAGTATGCAAGTTTGGCAAGCGCACTTAAATCTCAAAATCATTCAGTAGATTTTTGTCCCTCTGACATGCCCTTTCAGTGCACCGTATTCACCCCACAGGCAACTCAATATTCTCTAGAGACTGGCTTACTATGTTGAACTACTTCAGCCAGTGTTGTGCCAGCTGCAGGTAAGATGCACCAGCAGCTGCAACAAAGCCAGTTGAAAGTTATCTACAGCTTTGTGCTAGGGCCAGAGACCTCAAAAAGTGGCCATTATGCATTTAAATAAACAGACTGCAAAATAAATTAGTAAATGCTGATGAAAATAGACGAACTCTGCAACATGGTGCTCTCGCAGGCAGGATGCAGATGACCAGACGCTGTTAAGTAACTGTCCAGGGCCACTTTGAGAAGTGGGGAGTTGGGACTCCTTGGGAGTCGGCAGCTCTGGCTGTCGCTAAATCCTCACCCAGCTCCTGGGTGAGTGGATCCTGCTCCTGAGCAACTGTAGGAATGCAGCAGGAGTTGAAAGTTGACTGGCACAGAGACACTGCCTTAATTACCACCGTGCTGCTTCCAACAAGAAAGCAGTAGATGTTTGTGTATTTTTCTTTTTTCTTCCTTATACTCCGTAAAGAGGTGAATAATTTTGACTGATCTTACACCTGTCACTTCATGCATATGGTAACAACTAAAGCACAAAATTATTTACTATCCATTCCAGAAAAAAAAATAAAATGAAGGAGTTCTGAGTAATTCGACAGGATGCTCATAAACAAAGATCTTCCTCTGCTTTAATTACGCTAGCAGAATATGCCAAAAACCTAGGTACTCTCAGTGTTTTTCAGTAACCAAGCGGCAGTCTGTTCTGCCTTGCAACCTAGTTCTGCTTTCTAAGACCTCTGGCTTTGGAGGTCCAAAAGAGAAAAAAAAAAAAAAAAACAACGGGAGAATATACAAATTAGTTTTATAATGTAATTTACTGTAACTGCTATGCATTGTAATTTCAGGGTTAAGTTCTAATTTACGTCCACTTTTTTCTTCCAGAAGAATATTAACACACTAAACAAGGTGATAAGCTCTATTACGTTAGAAAATGACTTTTTTGGTGACATAACATAAATTTGCTTTCCCCTTAGTATAACCTCTCCATCTACAGATAGAATACTCAGATGGTAATGTATGTTAAAATAAAAGTGAAGCCTTAAGCAAACAGCTATTCCCTTGATAAAAATACTGGCAGCAAACCAGGGAACATATGTGTGATTGCTGTTGCATTGTACAGTTTCTTGAAGTTTCTTAAATCCTTAATATTTCCTTCAAAGCTTAAATTAATGCTTTTTTTTTTTTTTTTTTTTGAGATAGAAATAACAGAAGAACCAGGAAGAAAAATGCTAATC